ACACAGCATAGCAGAAATAACATCATACAGCACAGTTCAACATTATACAACACAGCTTAAACACCATAATTCAGCATAAACATTTTGCAGCACAACAACATCATAAATCAGCTCAACAATATTCATCAATAACAACTCAGCTCAATATATATCAATATTTCAGCTAAAATCAGCATATAACAGCATATAAGTGAATGTCACACCCGCGCCCGGCGCACTCATGGTCGCATCCGGCGTGGCCCAACTAGAGAGCACCAAGGCTCAAACGCGCCCGACACAATTCCAATTACGCCCAGCGTGCTAGGAGGCAAAGACTCAAAGAGCCTCACACGCCCGGCGTGCCAAACCCGCGCTCGGCGCAGGGTAGGCAGAGACCTCCCCAAGGTCTCAAGCCCGGTGCAATAGCAATTGTGCCTGGCGCCACCCCTGGCAGAGACTCCCAAGGAGTCTCCACACTCGGCAAGACGTAGTCACGCCCGGCGCCGCACCAGAATCCCAAAAACCTTTGTTACTCACTGATATCGCGCCCAGAGCGGTCCAACCACGCCTGGCGTGGGCCATCCAGAGGCTCTTATTCTCAAGCTCGCCCAGTGCACACAACCTTGCGCCCGGCGGGCTTGCCCAATGAAGCCCTCTGGTGGTCACGCGCCCAGCGTGATACCAAGCAGCAACTCACCAAGTTTGAAAATTTCTTCAAAAACCTGCAAAGATCAACAACCCAAACACATACAATTGGCCCAAAACTCCACATTTTCATCAAACAACAAGAAAAACACCTCATTTTCAGCATGCAACCTCAAATCATCAAAATTCCCAAATTTTTCATCAAACACCGGAAACCCGAAAACCCATTTTCTTCAAAAATAGCCAACAATCATCTGAAAATTCATCCGTACATGAGTTTATAAACCCATTCAAAACACAATCAGCTAAAGACCTAGCTTCCCTTACCTTGGTGCGAAAATCCGAGTTCCGGGAAGAAGAACGATGGAAGAAAAGTAATGGAGAAGATGATGAGATGGCTCCGGTTCAGCTAACTCCGCCTACTCTAGATCAGCACCTTCAAATCCCAAAGAGAGGAATTCAACAAGGATAGAGAGTGAACAACAATTTGAGTAGAGAGTTTTGGGGAAGAAAAGAGTTCAAGAGGGAAAATGAGAGTGAAAAGGAAAAGAAAAAGAGAAGGGGTCTCACACGCTCAAAGGATTTTGATATAAAATTTTTGTTTGTTAGAGAGAAAATTTTGGATTTTCATACTCAAATTGAGCATATTGCTACAGAAAATATGTTAGTAGATCTACTAACTAAAGGCTTAACTATTGGAGTTTTTCAAAATCATGTAACTCATATGGGTGTGGTTAAGTATTTTGATGGGTTAATGGGAGTCTGAAATTTACATTTTTATTATTATGATTTTCATGAGATGTAAATTTATCAATGATGTCATTTTCATTACATCTCTTTTAGCATACAAAATTGTTTGGACTATTTTTTTTGGGATCACATATTTATTATATTTTTCATTATCCATTATTTATGAAATATAAGCATAAGGTATGTATCGCTATCGGATACTATCTTTATGATTCATGTTTATATTTCTTATATTGTTAATTGATATATGTGCTTATGTTGTAATTGGTATATTTAATTTATTGATTAATATTATCCAAGTGGGAGAATGTTATATTTATATAAGACTTAAATATGTTTCTAGTCCATCAAATTTAAGACAAATTTGTTTTTGATCCTTCAAATTGAAAATTGTTATTTTTAGTCCTTGTAATTTTTAAAAATCTTGTTTTAAGCCCTGAGATCGCCAATAACATATTTAAAAATGATAAGTTAAAATGGTTATACAATATTAATTAGATTTAATGTAATATTTTCATTAACAGAGACACTAATAGGTAGATTTTATGTAATAATGTTTGATAATTTTTTTAATAGAATTTGAATATAAGGACTAAAATAAGATTTTTTGAAATTACAAGGACTAAAAACAACAATTTTAAATTTGAGGGACTAAAAATAAATTTATCATAAATTGAAGGAAAGAAAAACATATTTAAGTCTTTATATGATTATTCTCTATTTATTATTATTATTATTATGGATTAACATTAATTAATAAATTATATTTATGTTAATATCAATTATATTGCACATTGTTATTAATTTATGGATAATGCATATTAAGCTTCTGATGAATAGTCAGTGATGTATGATATGCGTGACGACGCAATATTTTTCCAATTGCTGGTTTGTTGTACAATCGATGAGATGTAGGCTGACGATGTGTTGATAGTTGCATTTGTTCATATCACTTAAATCTTGCTATACGTTGTTCTTTTTATACTAGCTTACCCTTTGTTGTTTCCATGTGGTTTGGACTGCAATGATCATACTATGTATGGGAGCAGAGCAGGGATAAGTGGGTGGCTAGTGGTGAGTCTGCAGCTGGCAGGCGGAGCTGATCTTAGTTGATGTTTTGTTGTTCAGTTACTTGATGTAGTAGCTTGGTTGTATTGTTGTACATTTTGAATCTAGTCAGACTTGGACCATGTATATATGTATATTCTAGATTTTGTGGTCTGCATAAAAGATCTAGCTTTGGATGTTATCTTTCCAATGGCACCGGAATCATGTAAAATGGAGATCGAGAACTCTAGTTATGGTTGTTTTAGTGAACAAAGGTCTAGCTGTAAGCACTGAATATATCTGCGGTGGTTTTTGAAATTTTTAGCTAAGAAGATATTTTTAGAATCTCATGTCTTCATAGGATTTTTAGCTTATTCTTTTATCTTTATTTTGAGATAGGTTTGACACTATAAGAAAAATGTTGATTTTTGACAGAAATTTTTGACGGATTTTTTTCTTTGACGGATTTAAATCCGTTGGAAAAAGTGGCATCGGAAAAAAAAGTCCATCGAAAATAATTTAATTCGTCAAAAATTTCCAATGACAAATTCTGTCAAAAAATTCTGACGAAAAATTTCGTCAAAAATTTTTGACAAAAATATTCATCAAAAATTCCGTCAGAAATTTCCAACAAAATTTTTTGTCATAAATTATAATTTTTTTAACTATAATAAATTTATTAATGTAACAACCTTCATATTTGGCCTCTCAATGGTTCTATTTCACGACATTTCACTGTTTAGCGTGTTTTTATCCTTACTTGCGCAATTTTTGGGAAACTTCTCAGAAGATCACCCATCTTGTACTACTCCAGGTCAAGCACACTTAACTATGAAGTTTTGATGAGTAAGCTACCGAAATGTATATGTATGTTGTCAGTATAACTTATACAAATTAATTCATTTAATTCATCCTCAAATATACAATCTCATGCTTGTACTATATAATAATTGTGAGACCCCGGTTATTCTCTTCCTTTTCTTCCTCGAACACTCAACTCTCTTTCACTCTCAAAACTCTCTCATTCACTCCTTCTTCTCACAATTCTGATTCACTCTCATTGCTTGAATTCAAGGTGCTGAGTAGGTGATTTTCTTCCAGAACCGTGTCGTGCGGAGCTTCTCATTCTTCCACTTCTCTTCTCTATTTCTTCCTCTTCCCGGAGCTTGAAATCTTTTCCCGAGGTAAGGGAAGTTAGTTTTCTTGTTGTGGTTTGGCTGAAATGAGTCTAAGAACTCATGTGGTTGATTTTGATTGCGGATTCTTGGCTGTTTGGGTGACACATTGAGTTTTTGGGGACTTTGGGGTTTTGAGAAAATTTTTGGTTTTTATTTGATTGTAGATGCGTGTGTAAAAAGAAGTTGTTTTGAAACTCTTGGATGAAAATGTGGTACTTTGGTTGGATTGCATGTGCTGGAAAGTGGGTTTTTGCAGGTGTTCGGGAAAATTTTCGAACATGCTAAGGCTGCAGCTGAGCTTCGCGCTGAGCTCTGTTCATCGCGTTGGGTGCGTAGCCATCAGGAGACCCCATTTGGCCAAGCTCGCCGGGCGCAATGATGAGTGCGCTGGGCGCGCTTGAGAATGTGGGTCTCTGGATGGCCCGCGCTGGGCATGACTTGGACCGCGCTGGGCGCGATACCAGTTGTAGCATGATTTTGGATCTTGTCTCTGCACTAAACGCAACCCTTGTCGTGCTGGGCGTGAGAATCCTTGGGAGTCTCTACCTTGTCAGCGCTGGGCGCAATTTGAATTGCGCTGGGCGCGAGACTAAGGAGAGGTCTCTGCCTTCCCTATGTTGGGCGCAGGTTTAGCCCCACCGGGCGCGTGAGACTCCTTAGAGTCTCTGCCTGGCAGGCGCTAGGCGCAAGTGGTAATGCGCCAGGCGCGTGAGAGCCTTGGGCTCACTGGTTGGGTCCCGCCGGGCGCAGGCATGCTTGCGCTGGGCGCGGTGGCCCCCTGGTGCTCTCTGGTTGTACTGCGCTAGGCGCGACTACTAGGGCGCCGGGCGCTGAGATGAAAATTTACTATGTATTAATTTATGTTGTTTTATGCTGAGTTGAGTTAAAATGGAGGAATATGATGTGATGACTAGTAGATAATGTTGTTTGAATGATGTTGAGTCGTATTGGATGAATATTTTTGTAAGATGTTCTGATGTGTTGCAAGATGGTGGTTGTGTTGTAAAGTTGTGTTGTGTTGTGTGTTGATATGAGTTGTTGTAGGCCATAAGGGCTGAGTTGTTGTAGGCCATAAGGGTTGAAAGTGCTGAGTTGTATAGGCCATAAGGGCTGAGTTGTTGTAGGCCATAAAGGTTGAGTTGTTGTAGGAGAACTCCGAGATGGTATGCATGAAGACACATCATATGTTATTTGTTGTTTCTGTCGTACAGAACAACAAAACAACTCCAAATCCTCTAATCCATTAAAAAGATCAAGATCATCAATTTTACATGAATTAAAAATATATTAAAAAAAATTTTTACCAAATTTTGCTGATATGACCTGTTATAAATGACATGGCACAAACTTAGAATATTATACACGAGTCTTAAATTTTATCCTGTTATCGTTAATGGTAATTCAATTCGATAAAAAAGAAAACAAAAAAGAGAAGTTGGATGCATGCAGTACCTGACAGACAAACATTTGAGCTCCACCAAGTAAGAAAAGAGTACGTCTACCAAATTTGTCAACCGAAGCAATGGAAACAAGAGTGGCGACGGCGTTACAACCTCCAGTGATCATAGCAGACATGAGGGAAGCATTGGCACCGAATCCAATGGTTTTAAACAAAACAGGAGCGTAGAATGTTATGACATTCATGCCAGTGAGTTGCTGAAAGGCTGGAATGGCAATGGCCATGGTGAGATGGGGTCTGTAGTGCCTCGTCAGCAAAGAAGCCCAAGGGTGTTGCACCGCTTTCGACGATTCACTCGCTGCAACCAAATCCTTAAACTCTTCCTCAACGTCACTAGTGCCGCGAATCTTTATCAACTCTCTCTTGGCTTCCTCCTCTTTACCACGCTCGATCAAGGAACTGGGTGTATCGGGGAGAAAGATTGCACCTAAGATAATCATTATTGCAGGAACTGCAGCAAAACCCAAACTGTAGCGCCAGCCTTCTCCGTTCTCCATTTTGGAGAAAACGTAGTTTAGAACATTGGCTACAAATAAGCCTATCGTGATCAACAACTGGAACATCATGTTAAGAGCTCCTCTGTACTTGTAGGGAGCAATCTCGGACACGTAAATTGGCACAGACTGATTGGAACATCCGATGCCGCAACCAAGAAGCAAACGACCAACAATAAGCATCCACACGCGTTGGGCGAATGCATTCAATCCAGCACCAGCCAAGAAAAGCACACCACCAGAAATCATGGTAAGTCTTCTTCCAAATACTCGAGTTACCGTTGATGCTCGATCTTTTGATCTTGTATCATTGGTGTGTGCTGAAAAATTGTGTTAGGATTGTAGTTGTTCACATTACTTAAATCTTGTTGTATGTTGTTCTTTTTATACTAGCTTACCCTTTGTTGTTTTCATGTGGTTGGACTGCTATGATCGTACTATGTACGGGAGCAGAGCAGGGATAGGTGTGTGGCTTGTGGTGAGTCTGCAGCTGACAGGTGAAGCTGATCTTAGCTGATGTTGTATTGTTTTAGCTACCTGGTGTAGCAGCTGATGATGTATTTTGTCTACGACAACTCAGCCCTATGGACTACGACAACTCAGCCCTTATGGCCTACAACATCTCAGCCCTTATGGCCTACAACAACTCAGCCCTTATACAACAACTCATATCGACATACAACACAACATAACTTTACAACACAACCACCATCTTGCAACACATCAGAACATCTTACAACAATATTCATCCGATACAACTCAACATCAATCAAACAACATTATCTACTAGTCATCACATCATATTCATCCATTTCAACTCAACTCAGCATAAAACAACATAAATCAGTACATAGTAAATTCATGAACGACTGCTTCTTCCTTGTCAGCTGGGTTAGAGGCGCTACTATCTTGGAGAATCCCTCAATGAACCGTCGATAGTAACCCGCTAGACCCACAAAGCTTCGAATGTCAATGACTGTCCATGGACGCTCCCATTTTAACACCGACTCCACCTTAGACGGATCAACTGCAATCCCCTCAGCTGAAATCACGTGACCCAAGAACTTCACTTCATCTAACCAAAACTCACATTTGGAAAGCTTAGCATATAGCTGCTTTGCCTTCAAAATCTCTAGCACCAACCTCAAGTGCTCTTCATGCTCTTCTCGGGTCCTGGAATAAATCAAGATATCATCAATAAATACCACCACGAATTTATCCAAGAACGGCCAGAAGATCCTGTTCATGTAATCCATGAACACTGCAGGGGTGTTGGTCACACCAAAAGACATCACGACATACTCATAGTGACCATACCTAGTCCTGAAAGTAGTCTTCGGTATGTCACCCTCCTTCACCCTAATCTGGTGATAGCCCGACCTCAAGTCAATCTTCGAGAAAACGGATGCTCCCTTAAGCTGATCCATTAAGTCATCTATCAGTGGCAGTGGATATTTGTTCTTAATGGTCAACTTATTCAACTGCCTGTAATCCACACAAAGTTGACTACCTCCATCCTTCTTCTTTACCAACAACACCGGAGCACCCCACGGCGAAACGCTCAGCCGCACCAACTACTTCTCCAATAGGTCCTCCAATTGACCCTTCAGCTCAACCAACTCAGCAGGATCCATCCTATAGGGAGCCACCGACACTGGCCCCGCTCCTGGGACCAAGTCAATGCTAAACTCTATCTCCCTAGTAGGAGACAACCCAGGCACTTCATCGGGGAACACCTCAACAAAATCCCGCACCACATCAATCTCTGCAATAACCCTTTTAGTCTCCACACTCATAGCAACAAGTAGAAGACAACACTTTGCTCCATCCCTCAACAATGATTCAGCTTGGCTAGTTGAAATCAACAACTGATCCTCCTCCTGAGGAAAGATTAACCACCTTTTGGAACAATCTATAAGAATACGATTGGTAGATAACCAATCCATTCCTAAGATTATGTCAATATCAACCAAAGGCAAACAAATCAAGTTTACCTTATACTTCTTCCCATTCACATCAATAAGGCAACCAACACACAACTCAGAAGCAGAAGCGGGCGTCGACACTAGCAGTCTCAACCTCAAATCACACACAGGTACACCCAGCATAGCAACACAATCATAAGAGATAAAGGAGTGAGAAGCTCCAGAATCAAACAAAAACACCACATCCTTACCAGCAGCTCTGCCCTTCCCCTTCACAAGATCAGAAGAAGTCGAAGCTTCAGCACCTGTCAAAGCAAAGACCCTACCGGCAGTGGTGGGTTTGTCACCCCTCTTGGCATCTCCTCTCTGCACATCACTCCTCCATGCACTCCTTTCCGGTCTATTTCTAGTGGGGCGGTTGAAAGACACATGGCCCATCTGCTAGCACCTGAAACACCGATTCTCTGTGTGGGGACAATCCCTGATCATATGGGACCCACCAAACCTGTAACATCTAAGGGCAGCACCTCCACCCTGTCCTCCACCACCAGCAGCACCAGAAGGTTGCCTGATGATAAGACCCCTTTGTTGTGGTTGGGGCCTATCATACGGCTTCTTCTGTCATACAGCACCACGGTTACCACCTTCCAACCTCTCAACAACATTTGCCTTCTCCACTAAGGCTGGAAATTCAGTGATGGCCATAGGCACCACCACCCTCTTCAACTCATACTTCAGACCCTCAACAAACTTCTGACATTTCCAGTCCTCAACTATACCTTGCGAATAGAAACGAGCCAGGTGCTCGAATCTCATCGCATACTCAGAAACTGTTATCCCTCCTTGGTGTAACCGCATGAATTTAGCTTCCTTGGCATCCCTTACACACTCAGGAAAATACTTTTCTAAGAACATCCTTCTGAAGCATTCCCAGTCAACAACCACCCCTCTGGCAGTCAGCATATGATGGGTACCCCTCCACCAATGCTCGGCTTCCCCAACAAGCATGTACACCGCGTATGCGAGCCTCCTCTCTTGAGAACATCCCAGCATGGTGAAGATCTTCTCAAGCTCACAAATCCAGTGGTCAGCCACCTCTGGATCCGCATCTCCTTTGAATTGATGAGGATGGCATTTTCGGAACTCAGCCAGGTCCTGGCTCTCCTGTGACCCAGTGGGCCTTGCTGCACTAGCTGCAACTCTCTCAGCATACATCCGAGCAAAATAGGCATTTTGTTGCTGCATAGCAATGGCCATCATCTCCATGGCCCGGGCTATCTGTTCGTTGGCTCTAGACATTGTCTACAAAAGCAACAACATCTTTAGTATACAATATCTAAACCAAACAACAATTCAACAATACAACAAAACACCACAACTGTTAACACAACAAACAACACATCAAGACATCACAACTCAGAGTTCAACACAACAGAAGCCTAAAGGAACCACCCCCAAAGAGTGTCCACTAGACTCGAACTACTCTGATACCACTAAAGTGTAACGACCCGACTTGTCACTACACACGCCACTGAACACCAGAAACACTAGACAGAAAGAACGAATATATAAATATAGGATCTAGAACATAAATATATACAAGGTTCCAATCTGACTAGAGTTAGAGTGTGCAAAAACAACAAAGCAAAACAAACTACATCATCAGTTGCTACACCAAGTAGCTGAAACAACACAACATCAGCTTAAAATCGACTCTGCCTCACAAATACAAAGGAAAAAATACACCTATACAAGTATCTACAAGTATGTACAACGGAAACTCCTTAGCTCAACCTTCACCCTTCTTGGTCTTACCTCTTCCAAAGGGATCCTTGGGGACTAGATTTCCATCATACCCTCTCCCTTCGAAAGGATTTGTCCTCAAATCCAGTGGTCCTTCCACAAACCTACAATGAAAACAAAAAAAAAAGCATTAGGGATGACATATTCATATAATATATGTGGAAAGTGCACCCTATGAGGAATTCCTGCTATAATCCTAGCAAGGGTCCTTAGACTAGGAAGGATAGGTTCTCTAAGCATAAGAATAGGATCCTCACTATAGTGTAGTCTAAGTGTAAAACTAAATCCTAAAAATGTGAAAGTGCTAAAACTATAAGAAACTAATGAAGTAGTCCTATATACTAAGATATCTTGCCTAAAGTACCCTATGTAGTAACCTAGGCTTCTACAAGAAAACAAAGTGAATATAATAAGGAAACTACCTAGACAACCCTTGATCATATTATATGTTAGATACATCATGGAAGAGGGTGTAAAGAGTTTAGAAAAGTCATAGAATCTAATTTGATCTTGAAGGGAAGTAGTAAAATTAAGTTCAAAGAATTTTGAACTTCTCTTAAGATCAAAAGTAGAAAATAAAACACCATGAGATGTATCTAATAAACAATATAAACCAAAGGTTGGGTGCTTTATTAAAACAGCTAAAGAAGGAGAAGTCCTAAATATACAATGGTTGTCTACTTTGGGCACCACCAAAGTATTAGCATAAGAAGTAGAACTAGGTGAAGTCCACTCCTTCTTCACAAGACTAAGAACTTGAGATCCTTTACTTTCAAAAATGTTTAGGTTATGGATCTTAAATTCTAAGGTTGTGGCAACAGTAGAATTGGAGTTTTGAGTGTTCTTGATGAAAGGCCAAAGTGTTGGTGATTTCTTGAGTTTTGATGCTTACATGTTGACTTTTTATGGTTTAGGTTGCATGTGGATTTTATTTCAGCTCTAAGTCTTTTGTGTGGAACATGTGAATTATTTTGGTTTAGGATTGCAGTGAGAAGCTTGGATATGAGTTTGGGATGAAAAGAAGTGAGTTTGGAAGTATTATAAGGTATTTTCGTGGTCTTGGACTTTGGTGCACTCTTTTGTTATCTGGTGTAGGGGATATCTTCGCTGTAGTTTTGTCACGCTAGTAAAACTGCTATATTGATAGAATTAGCTTTTGTGGTCTGCATAAAAGATCTAGCTTTGGATGTTATCTTTCCAATGGCACCGGAATCATGTAAAATGGAGATCGAGAACTCTAGTTATGGTTGTTTTAGTGAACAAAGGTCTAGCTGTAAGCACTGAATATATCTGCGGTGGTTTTTGAAATTTTTAGCTAAGAAGATATTTTTAGAATCTCATGTCTTCATAGGATTTTTAGCTTATTCTTTTATCTTTATTTTGAGATAGGTTTGACACTATAAGAAAAATGTTGATTTTTGACAGAAATTTTTGACGGATTTTTTTCTTTGACGGATTTAAATCCGTTGGAAAAAGTGGCATCGGAAAAAAAAGTCCATCGAAAATAATTTAATTCGTCAAAAATTTCCAATGACAAATTCTGTCAAAAAATTCTGACGAAAAATTTCGTCAAAAATTTTTGACAAAAATATTCATCAAAAATTCCGTCAGAAATTTCCAACAAAATTTTTTGTCATAAATTATAATTTTTTTAACTATAATAAATTTATTAATGTAACAACCTTCATATTTGGCCTCTCAATGGTTCTATTTCACGACATTTCACTGTTTAGCGTGTTTTTATCCTTACTTGCGCAATTTTTGGGAAACTTCTCAGAAGATCACCCATCTTGTACTACTCCAGGTCAAGCACACTTAACTATGAAGTTTTGATGAGTAAGCTACCGAAATGTATATGTATGTTGTCAGTATAACTTATACAAATTAATTCATTTAATTCATCCTCAAATATACAATCTCATGCTTGTACTATATAATAATTGTGAGACCCCGGTTATTCTCTTCCTTTTCTTCCTCGAACACTCAACTCTCTTTCACTCTCAAAACTCTCTCATTCACTCCTTCTTCTCACAATTCTGATTCACTCTCATTGCTTGAATTCAAGGTGCTGAGTAGGTGATTTTCTTCCAGAACCGTGTCGTGCGGAGCTTCTCATTCTTCCACTTCTCTTCTCTATTTCTTCCTCTTCCCGGAGCTTGAAATCTTTTCCCGAGGTAAGGGAAGTTAGTTTTCTTGTTGTGGTTTGGCTGAAATGAGTCTAAGAACTCATGTGGTTGATTTTGATTGCGGATTCTTGGCTGTTTGGGTGACACATTGAGTTTTTGGGGACTTTGGGGTTTTGAGAAAATTCTTGGTTTTTATTTGATTGTAGATGCGTGTGTAAAAAGAAGTTGTTTTGAAACTCTTGGATGAAAATGTGGTACTTTGGTTGGATTGCATGTGCTGGAAAGTGGGTTTTTGCAGGTGTTCGGGAAAATTTTCGAACATGCTAAGGCTGCAGCTGAGCTTCGCGCTGAGCTCTGTTCATCGCGTTGGGTGCGTAGCCATCAGGAGACCCCATTTGGCCAAGCTCGCCGGGCGCAATGATGAGTGCGCTGGGCGCGCTTGAGATTGTGGGTTCCTGGATGGCCCGCGCTGGGCATGACTTGGACCGCGCTGGGCGCGATACCAGTTGTAGCATGATTTTGGATCTTGTCTCTGCACTAAACGCAACCCTTGTCGTGCTGGGCGTGAGAATCCTTGGGAGTCTCTACCTTGTCAGCGCTGGGCGCAATTTGAATTGCGCTGGGCGCGAGACTAAGGAGAGGTCTCTGCCTTCCCTATGTTGGGCGCAGGTTTAGCCCCACCGGGCGCGTGAGACTCCTTAGAGTCTCTGCCTGGCAGGCGCTAGGCGCAAGTGGTAATGCGCCAGGCGCGTGAGAGCCTTGGGCTCACTGGTTGGGTCCCGCCGGGCGCAGGCATGCTTGCGCTGGGCGCGGTGGCCCCCTGGTGCTCTCTGGTTGTACTGCGCTAGGCGCGACTACTAGGGCGCCGGGCGCTGAGATGAAAATTTACTATGTATTAATTTATGTTGTTTTATGCTGAGTTGAGTTAAAATGGAGGAATATGATGTGATGACTAGTAGATAATGTTGTTTGAATGATGTTGAGTCGTATTGGATGAATATTTTGCTGAGTTGAGTTGAAATGGATGAATATGATGTGATGACTAGTAGATAATGTTGTTTGATTGATGTTGAGTTGTATCGGATGAATATTGTTGTAAGATGTTCTGATGTGTTGCAAGATGGTGGTTGTGTTGTAAAGTTATGTTGTGTTGTATGTCGATATGAGTTGTTGTATAAGGGCTGAGTTGTTGTAGGCCATAAGGGCTGAGTTGTTGTAGGCCATAAGGGCTGAGTTGTCGTAGTCCATAGGGCTGAGTTGTTGTAAGAGATCTCCGAGATGATATGCGTGACGACGCATTATTTGCTAATTGCTGGTTTGTTGTATAATCGATGAGATGTAGACTGACGATGTGTTGATAGTTGTAGTTGTTCACATTACTTAAATCTTGTTGTATGTTGTTCTTTTTATACTAGCTTACCCTTTGTTGTTTTCATGTGGTTGGACTGCTATGATCGTACTATGTACGGGAGCAGAGCAGGGATAGGTGTGTGGCTTGTGGTGAGTTTGCAGCTAACAGGTGAAGCTGATCTTAGCTGATGTTGTATTGTTTTAGCTACCTGGTGTAGCAGCTGATGATGTATTTTGTTTTGTTTGGTTGTGTGGTGAGTCTGCAGCTGACAGGTGAAGCTGATCTTAGCTGATGTTGTATTGTTTTAGCTACCTGGTGTAGCAGCTGATGATGTATTTTGTTTTGTTTGGTTGTTTTTGCACACTCTAACTCTAGTCGGATTGGGACCTTGTATATATTTATATTCTAGATCCTATATTTATATACTCGTTCTTTCTGTTTGGTGTTTCCGGTGTTCAGTGACGTGTGTAATGACCAGTCGAGTCGTTACAATAACAAACATGATTTATCATTATAATAATTAAAATTTATTAAATAAAAACAAAAAAGTATATACCAAACATTTAGGAATTTAACAACTTAAAAAAAAAAAGCTAAACTCTCCTAAAAATACTAACATTCTTAATTTTTAAATATATTTTTAGTTCTTTAAACTTAAAATTAATTTTTTAATTTCTGTAATTTCAAAAAAAAATATTTAAATTTTTATATTTAAATTTTATTAAAAATTTTGTTAAATATTATCATATAAAATCTATCTACTATTATTCTTAATAATGAAAATATCACCTTAAATCTAATTATAATGTATAATTATCTCAATTTATCACTTTTAAATAATGTTATTGGTAATTTGAGGAATTAAAATAAACTTTTTAAATATTATAACGACTAAAACAAACGGTGAGAGAATAATTATTCTAAATTTAAAAATTAAATATATTTAAACTCATTCTTAATTTTGAAAATTAAATATCTCCGTTGTGATGTGAGTTATAAAAAGCATGGTGCAAATCTTTGTATAAAAGCCACCAATTAGAAGTCGTGTGGACTTCGATTGTCTGCAGTCAAATTCTATGCCGTCATAATCCAAGACTCGATTTTTTTTTAATCTTATCACATTTGTTAGAATGTTATATAATAACATCTTTGAGTATTTTTTATTTTTAAAAAATGATATTTTCATGTATATGAAAATTTTATTATCATGAAGGAGAAATGGGCAAGTAATATTTTCATAAAAATAGTGAAAATTAATTTTTATAATTTCTATTTTTATTTAAATTATTTCAATTTTTAAAAATTATTTCTAAAAATATTGAAATGAATCAAACATTTTTCTTATACTTTTAAGAATAACGTTCCAAATTATATTATTCATAAAAATATAATTTTTGAAAATATAATTCATTCCTTGAAATAAATGTTATTAAAAATATGCTTATCTTTTATATTTTAATAATAGATAAAGATAACTCAAAACAAACACTCAATTATATTTAATTAATTAATTTTGTAAGGTTAGGACTGGAAAATAAAACAGGGCAGATCGAGCCAGAGATTCAACTTCCCCTCACTCTAGCTGCAGCTAATCCACACACATTTGTGTCTTGTACGATAGACACGTGTCAAGCTATAAGTAAGATACTTCTCTATATTGAAAAAAACTAAGCATTAAGCAATGTGCATAAATTTGAGTTTCTTTTATTAGGGTCTAACTGCTTTATACAAGATACCAAAATTGGTTCTCGTTTGGCAGAATGAAGAAACAACGATGAAGTTGAGGCATGATTTCTACCAATTAAATATTATTTTAATATGAAAAAAAATTAAATTTAAATACAGGAGATTAATTTTCATGTTCTAACATAGATTTTACAATTACTAAAGTAAAAAGCGGTGGAGTTGTGGGTTTCCTAAAATTGCAATATGGAGAATGTTATGTTAAGTGTAACTACAGCCACACGCAAGACGAAGAAGAGACAAGGATAGGGATAGAAGAAGAGGCAGAGAGAGTAGCGGAATAAGGAGCTTGTTATCATCGCTGGTCCATGGATGTTTTAGGGCACAATCCCCTTCATCAAATTATCTTAGACTCAACAATAATTCATGTTCAATTTTTCTCCACCTGAAAATACTCTAATTAACACTTATAATTTCGTGAAAACTGGAAATTTGATCTGTTGGCTAGTGTGGGGTCAGTAGTACCATCTATGCGCAAGCAAATCACGACCTCAAATATTAATGTAGTTGTTCGTTAAAAATAGTAATATTATTATTGGTTATCACTTATCAACATTGAAGAGCTAGCACTGAAATGACAATAACCCATGAATGCTTGAATTTGAATACAAGAGACAAGTCCTCCAAGACTTGTGTGGCAATAACACCTCCTTAATACTGGTGGAGATAGTAAAAGCTTGAATACCAACCGCAAAGTGTAGGCACAAGAGTGACAAAAAACCTTGCAGGCACTCAATGGTTGCCACGTGGCAGCAGGGCAATCTTCTTTGTGTGGATGTCAGGGCTTGAATGACTAATCCCTTTGTGTTCACTCAACCATGCAGCTACTATAAGTTACACCCTCTGGTCACAGGCTACCTAGCACTGAATTTGCAATTCAATTACCTTCTTCCTCTTATCAACAACTCCAACCACACCACTTCCATGGCTGCCTCCGTCTCCACTGTCGGAGCTGTCAACAGAACCCTTGTATGATGCCTTTCCCACTTTTAATTACTAGTGCTCTTGTTTCATATATATGCATGTTTATCTAATCTTGTTAATTTCACATTCCTTTTCATTGCAACAGTTTTACTCCCCTACTTTTCTCTTCACACGTCATATGATTAGGATCATGATTTTTTTTTCTCAATTCCCTTTACACTTTTTTTCCACTTAATCATCATTGATTAAAACACTTTTACCTTAAAAATGGTAATGATTAAATGATGAATGGGTAAAATTCAAATATAAAAAGAAGTGTAACTAAGAAAAGTGTCAAGAAAATGTGAAAACGGGTAGGCTCAAATGAGTATTTTTCACATGTTTATATACTTTGGCAGCGAAAATTTATTAAACAGTCTTAAATCATATGGTGTCAAATTAGTACATGTGATCAAATATTATTAATTTCTTTTCGTAGACTTAAAAAAATTAAATAAATGTGACCATATACATTTGATAGATAAACTATCTTTAATCGTCATTTTACGTGTCATATAGTGGTTCTGTAAACTGTTGCATGCTAAGTTTAAATGATTGGTGATGAGGCTGATATCAAGTGGCTTGAGATGCTTGTTTATATACCAGTCATCATGGTGCATGATATCATCACACATTGAAATCCTGAAAATTAACAAAGATATATAATAGAGAACAAATATTGTATTGAGTATAGAATTTATTTTAGTATGAAGAGTTTGAAAGAGTTGCTACTGCGATGTTGCAGTTGAACCTGAATGGAGCTGGAGCTGGTGCCTCAGCTCCCAGTTCAGCCTTCTTTGGAAGCAGCTTGAAGAAGGTTATTGCCTCAAGGGTCCCCAACACCAAGGTTTCCTCTGGAAACTTCAAAATTGTTGCTGCAGAGAAAGAGATTGAGGAGACCCAGCAGACCGATAAGGACAGGTGGAGGGGTCTGGCCTACGATATTTCAGATGACCAGCAAGACATCACAAGGGGGAAGGGTATGGTTGATTCCCTTTTCCAAGCTCCAATGGAAGCTGGAACTCACTATGCAGTCATGAGCTCCTACGAGTACCTTAGCACTGGACTTCGCCAGTGAGTACACTACTCATACATGCTCACAAATCTAAACCATTTATTTAAGGACAAAACTTAGAATAAGTCATCGCATTGTTTTCAAATCAGAATTAGAATTTTACCTCAGTAATATATGATAATATTTAACAAATCCTTTATTACGTATATTATTGTGGTAAAAATCTAATTCTGATTGAAGTATAAAACCAATAATAGTCATAGACTTATGGTATGCATCATCCATGCAAGGTTTATCTTTTATTTAGTGTTTGCATCTATTTTGACCTCAACAATCGTGATTGTGTTTAATTTAGGTACAACTTGGACAACAGCATCGATGGATTTTACATTGCTCCAGCTTTTATGGACAAGCTTGTTGTTCACATCACCAAGAACTTCATGAGCCTTCCCAACATCAAGGCATGTTACTAGAAATATGTTCTCTGCATAAACTAAACTTTGAGTTTTGCGATATTGGGAGACACGTTCATTTTTGTTTTCAATATTTTTACAGATTCCTCTCATTCTTGGTATCTGGGGAGGCAAGGGACAAGGAAAATCTTTCCAATGTGAGCTTGTCTTTGCCAAGATGGGAATTAAGTGAGTTTTTGCTGAACTAGCTCTTCCATTACTTGCATTTTGGATTCACATTAGATCATCCAAAACTATGTCAAAATATACAAATTTACATGTTTGGTTTTAGGCAGAGGAATTGATTCCGGATCTAAAATTGATTTTCACATGAAGTAACTTTAGTTAGCTTTTGTGTTGGATTCAAAATTTTATATTAGATTATAGTAATAACTTGCTTTAAAAAAAACATTCAAATATAAATCACTTCAGTTTCAAAATCAATTTTACAAACTATCACTCAGTAAAAAGTACTTTTGTCTTGCTATACTCATGCATGCTTCATCAAAGATTTGAATTGTGTTAAACCTCACAACTCAACTCAAAAATACAACACTCTTAACATTTGATGTGTTTCAATTGGATTTTATACACATAAGGTGTATTTAGATAAGTTTCTCCATAGACACTTGTAAGAAAGAAAAGTAGAAAAATAAAATAAAATAAATTTCTTTAAAAATTAAAACTATCTTCCACATAAATTAAAAATAAGATTTTTGAGAAATTAATAGAAGAGAATTCCTAGTTGCTACAAATTAGTTTATACATAAGCTAATTTTAGTTTATGGAAAAACTTTTTTCATTCTTTTTTTTTCTTCTATTTTTCCCTACTGAAAATGCATTTAGATAAGATTTTTATTAACCTGTTATACAACTAGCTATCATATAAACCTATGAGTAACGATGTTGTGAAACCATTACAGCCCCATCATGATGAGTGCTGGAGAGTTGGAAAGTGGAAACGCAGGAGAGCCAGCAAAATTGATCAGACAGAGATACCGTGAAGCTGCAGACATGATCAAGAAGGGAAAGATGTGCGCCCTCTTCATCAACGATCTTGATGCAGGAGCTGGTCGTCTTGGTGGAACCACCCAATACACTGTGAACAACCAGATGGTGAATGCCACCCTCATGAACATTGCTGACAACCCCACAAATGTGCAGCTTCCTGGTATGTACAACAAGGAAGATAACCCCCGTGTGCCCATCGTTGTCACCGGTAACGATTTCTCAACATTGTATGCTCCTCTCATCCGTGATGGACGTATGGAGAAGTTCTACTGGGCACCAACAAGGGAAGACCGTATTGGTGTTTGCACCGGAATTTTCCGCACTGATGGTGTCGCGGAACAGGACGTTGTCAAGCTTGTTGACACCTTCCCTGGCCAATCCATTGGTAAGAACCAAACACTTTGGTCATAGACATGTTAAGATGAGATGAAACATAACATATATATTCTGTGTTTGATAAGTTTTAAAATTAAAACATAATTGTTGGAGATCTCATATTCACATATGTTTATGGCCGAATAATGTATAGAAGTAGCATATGAGTCTTATCTCACAAACTAGTTCTTGAGTTTGAGTTACACTCAAATTCAAATTCTAAGATAGTATCAAACTATCTAGAGATATGCATCAGTTCAGTAAATTTCACTTTTAGGATATCTAACTAATATCGTCTAAAGAGATCAAGTCTCACTTCACAAACTAATTGTTAAGATTAAGTTAAATTCAAATTCTAAGATGATATTAAACTACCTCAAAGATATTCAGTATAGTAAACTTCACACTTAATATGACTAATACGGGGTGCACAATTTGATGTTTGTTACTTAAGGGATTCAAATTCAAATTCTAAAACACTATCAGACTACCTGCAGATATATCCAATTTTTTTGATAAATTTTACACTAAGATGTCAAATCAAAAGGTGTAGAATGTGATGTATGTTAACTAAGGGGTGTACAAATAGTATATGCTAATGATATTCCATCTTATGTTGTACTGCAGATTTCTTTGGTGCACTGAGGGCCAGAGTGTACGATGATGAAGTGAGGAAGTGGATTTCTGGGGTTGGTGTTGACGGTGTTGGGAAGAAGCTTGTGAACTCAAAAGAAGGGCCTCCAACCTTTGAGCAGCCCAAGATGAATCTGGAGACGCTCTTGCAGTATGGCTACATGCTTGTCCAGGAACAGGAGAATGTGAAGAGAGTCCAGTTGGCTGACAAGTACTTGAACGAGGCTGCTCTTGGTAATGCTAACGAAGATGCTATCAAAAGGGGAACTTTCTAGTTTCTTCACTTCAACTTAAGGGTCTGCATTAATTGGAGGTTTGAATCTCCACCTTAATGTTCCTCCAACTTGCAACAATAATGTTAGGTTCAAATGTAACTTGGTCTGAAATCTTGAATTGTTTTTTGTGCAGGCAAAGTGGCCCAGCAAGTAAATATTTCTGTTCCCCAAGGTTGTACTGGTTCAAGTGCTGGAAGTTGTTATGGCACTTGCGTGTAACATTCTTAGCATTCTCAATGTGTTAGGTGCAAAGAGATGATGCTAAGTTTGAGATAATTTTACTATATTTTTCATATTGGTCTGTCTTCCTGTATAATTTTGAGTGTGCACTTAAATTGAATTTGGTGCCTTTTCCTTTTCTCCTATATTCTTCATTTTTTTTTTAATTTCACGTGCAAATATTAATACATATCTAATCAAATATAGTTTTTAACTTAAGAGTACAAAAGATTTAAAGAACTCGAAGAGAACTAACAAAGTTCAACATAATTAATAGATAAATAAATTCTTTAAGCATATTAACAAAACTCAATATTGAATGGCAAACGTCGTAAATCATGAGCATTACAAATTGCAACATTCGTGGGAAGAAAAAACTGTTTTATATTATCACTTAAATATTCTTAAGCTTCTAACATAGCCACCAAATTTTAGTCTCCCTTCAAATATAATGCACATGAGTACCAAATAACATTGCTAAAACGTGTGTAAATTTTGCAAAATATTATCACTACTGAAAAGATACTCAAGTATATATCAAAGGCAACAGAGAGTAGATTGTGTGCTGTAAAATTTGTCCTTCCGGAAAAAAGAAGAAGAAAAAAAAAAATCCTTTAAATAACGTTTTAGAATTGGCCAACTGGTTAAAACAGAAAATAAGACAACACACTTATTAACTTTTGTTTCAAACTTTACAAAACTATTAAAAGTGATCAGAATATTTTAAAAGAATGAGTACATTGGAAATATATAATTATAAGTATCAATTTATTTATATTGAATATAATCAAGTTGGATAAAAATAAAAAATTACTATACGCGCCAGGTAGGGGTCGAACCTACGACTTTCTGCTTAGGAAACAGACGCTCTATCCACTGAGCTACAGGCGCAAGTTATGATAAGAAACTGGTTTTTATCATAATATAACAAAATTTACGTAATGAAGAGACTACAGATACAACTTATTTTTTATACGCCACATTACGTAATAATCCTCGTTTATTAAGTTTATACTTTTTATTTCATATATATATATATATTATTACGATGTATTTCATGTTTTTATATATTATTTAAAAAATAAAATGAAATAATAAAAAATAGTAGTTACTAAAATAATTATTATTTTTAAATTTTATTTTAATAATAGAAGGGTATATCTATAACATTATATAAAGGGGATAAAAAAAGCTTTGGTTTCCATTTTTCTTTAGTCTCTTTTACCCTTTAATAGATAACAAATCACCTCTTAAATTTGTAACTACTTTATTCAAAATTTATAAACCGTCAAACTGCCACTTCACTTCTTATTATAATTTTTATTCTATTCATTTCTCTCGTATCTCTCACTTTTCATCTCTATCACACCCTATTCTTTTTATCTCTGGTAAAATCTTCGTCTCTCATTTTCACTTTTTTCTATTACGTATTTTTGTTTTATTGACTTCGCCATATTTTCCACATCTCGCATTTTCCATCTCTCTCACACCCTATTCTTTTTTATCCTTGATACAGTCTTTGCCTCTCTTTTTCATGTTTTTCTACTAGGTGTTTTTGTTTTTTACAAAGTCAATAAAACAAACACACCTAGTAGAAAAACATGAAAAAGAGAGGCAAAGATTGTATCAAGGATAAAAAAGAATAGGGTGTGAGAGAGATGGAAAATGCGAGATGACACTTAAAATTTTTCATTATTCACCCTCAAATACAAATATAGAGGTTCCAACAACTTTTTCTATTTAAACGACGAGTCTGCCAATATACTCTAACAAAATTTTATCACAAACTCAAAATAATTTTTTTTTCATCATCATTCCCAAGTCCATAAACATTTAATTTCATGCCTTTGTTGAAAACCTTGTAAGCTCTGAATTTCCAATATTTGGTCACACCCTTTCACTTCCGATGACTCTTGAAACTCTTAGTGTGCGAATTTTTCTAAACAATGTTTATTATTCTCCTTCTCCGAACATTAAGATATTGCATTTCAAAATCAAGAGACCCTTGCTTTCCTCCACAAAAGGTGAAACAAAACAGAGAAAAAAAAATAAAATAGAGCACTTCTGAAACTTATATACCTAGGTTTAAGAGTAAATAGTAAAAACTAAGTGTAAAATTAGTTTTCATCCTAAAATTTAACTTAACCTTAAAATAATTAATATTTTAAATTAAAAAACTCATATCGTTAAAACTAATAGTGATTTGAGTGATAAGATGACTTATTTTAAAAACAAAAATTAATATTATTTAAAAAAGATTAAAAATAAATAATATATAAATTTAGAGGACTAAAATCAAGAAGAATTTTTTTTTAGAAACTTAAACTGGAGTTAATTTTCAGAGAACAAAAAAATATATTTAACCCTATAAAATATTAGTTGAGACAAAAGACACAATAAAATAAATATATTGTTATATTAAAATTAATATAACATTAAATTTTAAAAAAATATCATAAAATATATTAATTTTATGTAATGGAGATATTATATTTATTTATAACTTAATCATTAATCAATAGATATTAATGTAGAAAGAATAATGATCATACATATAAAAATTATTCGTTCAGTGTTCACACAATACATGTGGTTAATCACATATATAAATATTATTTTTTGTTCTATTTATAAAAAATATAAGTATAATTTTGAATACATTAATTGATAATATCTATTTATATTTTTAATTTATTATGAGTTTATTAATAAGTCATTCACTTATTTTTTATAAATGTGTACACATTTATTAAGCTATTAATATTATAAGTTGTGTTGTTTGATAGAAAAGAAATTACTCCCTTTTATTATGAATATAAGTAAAAAAAAATCACGTTAATTAAAAAAGGTTATTTATATTATTTAATTTTATTAATCTTATATATATCTTTTTAAACTATCTTTTCTTGAAACTTAATATAAAAATAAGAAGAGAAATTGAAAATACAATCTTAAATAAATGAAAGAATATTTTGAGAATGACAACATTAAATAAAATAAAATTAATTAAAATTCAGTTATATTAAAAATAACAAACATTGGATTTTTTTTCTTATATTCAAAAATAGAGAAAACCTTAACTTGTGAGTAGTGATATTAAATATAATCATCGGTCTATCACTAACATTATCTAATTCTATGAATATTTAAAAAAAAAAGTCTCATACATTATTAATTAAAACTAACTAATTTAATATTATTTTCATTCATAAAGATTTATTTTTTATATTAAAAACAAAATAGTATTAAACATTTCAATAAACCCACACTTTTAATCATTTACTAGACAAGACATTTTAGTTATTATGTAACGCTATTAATCACATACTTTGATAAAATTTTGCTAATTTACTTTTAACCATTTGTAAAAGAAAGTTAATCACATTTACACAGGGACAGGTATAGGTTAACATTTATCAATTCCCCCAACCCACCTCACACACACAACATTTTTTATTTTACTTATGTTAAATAAAAAACTATCTCCATTATAAAAGAAAAAACAAACAAAAAAACAGGTGTTGTCTCTATAACATATACTTTTTTTCAATAAAATGAAAAAGAGAAAAATGGTATTACTTTTATCACTTCACCTTATTAATTTTTTTTTTTATATTCAGTACTAAATACACACATTAAAATTGAGTTGAACCAAAGCTTTTTTTATCCCCTTTATATAATGTTATAGATTTATATTTTTGTTATATATTATTTTCTTTTTATGTAATTATTCAACTATCATATATATATATTTACAAATAGGTCAATCATCTCCTATAAATAATAGAGTAGTTAGATTATTTTCTCTCTCTTTCATATTATCTTCTTTATTTTCCTTACTATTATCTTTATTTTCATAACACATTATCAACATCTAAAATAAGTTATCTTAGCATCTAAATCACTATTAGTTTTACTGTTAAGAAATTGTTTTAATTAAAAATATTAATTATTTTAGAGTTATGTTAAATTTTAGGATAAAAATAATTTTACACTTAAAATTTTTCATTATTCACCCTCAAATACAAATATAGAGGTTCCAACAACTTTTTCTATTTAAACGACGAGTCTGCCAATATACTCTAACAAAATTTTATCACAAACTCAAAATAATTTTTTTTTCATCATCATTCCCAAGTCCATAAACATTTAATTTCATGCCTTTGTTGAAAACCTTGTAAGCTCTGAATTTCCAATATTTGGTCACACCCTTTCACTTCCGATGACTCTTGAAACTCTTAGTGTGCGAATTTTTCTAAACAATGTTTATTATTCTCCTTCTCCGAACATTAAGATATTGCATTTCAAAATCAAGAGACCCTTGCTTTCCTCCACAAAAGGTGAAACAAAACAGAGAAAAAAAAATAAAATAGAGCACTTCTGAAACTTATATACCTAGGTTTAAGAGTAAATAGTAAAAACTAAGTGTAAAATTAGTTTTCATCCTAAAATTTAACTTAACCTTAAAATAATTAATATTTTAAATTAAAAAACTCATATCGTTAAAACTAATAGTGATTTGAGTGATAAGATGACTTATTTTAAAAACAAAAATTAATATTATTTAAAAAAGATTAAAAATAAATAATATATAAATTTAGAGGACTAAAATCAAGAAGAATTTTTTTTTAGAAACTTAAACTGGAGTTAATTTTCAGAGAACAAAAAAATATATTTAACCCTATAAAATATTAGTTGAGACAAAAGACACAATAAAATAAATATATTGTTATATTAAAATTAATATAACATTAAATTTTAAAAAAATATCATAAAATATATTAATTTTATGTAATGGAGATATTATATTTATTTATAACTTAATCATTAATCAATAGATATTAATGTAGAAAGAATAATGATCATACATATAAAAATTATTCGTTCAGTGTTCACACAATACATGTGGTTAATCACATATATAAATATTATTTTTTGTTCTATTTATAAAAAATATAAGTATAATTTTGAATACATTAATTGATAATATCTATTTATATTTTTAATTTATTATGAGTTTATTAATAAGTCATTCACTTATTTTTTATAAATGTGTACACATTTATTAAGCTATTAATATTATAAGTTGTGTTGTTTGATAGAAAAGAAATTACTCCCTTTTATTATGAATATAAGTAAAAAAAAA